CTCTCTCATTTTTGTCCGATATGGACGGGTATAAAAATATGAAAATTTAGGACCGGAATTTTTCATAAATTGTATACAATTGTATACCTACTAATTCATAAAAAATTACGTAGCTTTAAAAAGATTTATAAAGTGGCATTTAAAAAAATTCAAATTATTAAGCATTTAAAGTGTTTATTCTTTATGGCTTAAAAACAAAATCCAGACAGGAGAATGGTCGAAATCTGTGGGACTATAGGTAGCTTTTTTTGACATGAAGTGATTTGTTTTCCCAGTGGCGGCGTGGGGTATGTTGTTGTGCAGGCATTGCAACAATGTAACCTCATACGCTCCTAGTAAGATACTCTTGCTCCTTGGCATCTTGAAATTAAACTGTTTGTTTTGTTCGTTTTCGATCCATATAAAAAACTTGTTGTAGGCCCGGTGAACTGTCTTCTAGTAGCATTTTCAACTTTTAAGTACAAGGGATACTTTATCCCATATCGTTTATAGCCTGAATTACATAGAGCATATTTTTTCATTGATTTATACCAAACGGAGGGGTATTTCATTAAAACATTCTAAAGTTTTTCAGAAGTGCCTTCGAACAGTCACTTACTTAGGACTAATTCACATATCACAATTAAGAAATAAACAGAATTGTTCAGGAGGCGGGCTGAATGTTTGCAATTTAGGTACTTTCAAATGAAAAGTGAGACACTGTCAGCGAAGTTTGCGGGAAATGCATGAGGACGGGAACAAGGGGGCCCCTAAAACACATCCTATGTCTTTGTCATGCCGTATATCAAAAATTCGATTGTAATATTTTGGAGCTCCAGAGTGTAATAAGCTTGAAGACGTGACAACATTTGAGCTTCAAGAAATTTTGAAATTTTCAAAAAGTGTTATCGTCCTTAATGATGTCTACTTCGAATGTACTTAACGTAAACTTCTATCTCCATCTGCCACCACTAGGGACCTATTGGTCATTGTGGAGTGGTCAGCCAGCCAAAATAACCCAACCTACCCTACTTTATGACACGAAAATGTGTTTTCGACATTTTACGAAAAGTTCCAGTGAACTCGATGAAGCAGTTAGATGAGGAGATGTGGTGATCTCCGAAATAGCAGCTGCAACTTCTACCACGAATAAATTAATTTTGTTTATCCACAAAATTTTTTAAAATTAAAAACGGCCTCAAGCTCATTAAAATTGTTGAATTCTATGAAAAAAAAATTAAAATTTTATAGGCAGAACGATTTTAAAAACGCTATTTCCAGTGATCAGAGGAACTTCTAATATAGTTGGTTGAGATGCTCACCGTAACTATTGGATGGTCATTTGACAAGGCTGCGGATCACTCACGTATACTAGAGTGCCAGTTACTGTCGAAATTCGACAGTTTTTCTAGTTTTTAGGAGCCTTAACTTAACACGTAGCAAAACTTATACGGTACAAAATTAACTTACCGGAACATCTTCTGCTTTGGAACTAAAACGAAACTAAAATTTTTTTATCTTAGAAGGTCTTTGGACTTCAGCAGAACTTAGAATTGACCCGATACATTCCATTTTATCGATAAATTTCGATGATTTGATACATATTGATAGTTCGATGAATTTCAAGAACACTAAAATTCGATAACTCAACAAAATTCGTTAACTCGACCAATTTCGATAACTGTAAAATTCGATGGCTCGATAAATTTAGATAACTCAAAAATGTAAAAACTTTGGATACCTTTATAAATTTTTACTTTTGACATCTCCACATTTTTCGAAAACTATCTAAACATTTTGATAACACGTTACACTCTGTTAAGATGATTAAATTAGATAAGCAGTGATAAATCGATAAGCTTACCTAACCTTGAAACTTCGATAAATCGATATATTTTGAAAGTTCCATAAACTTCGCTTCGTTGAACCAACCAATTTCAGTAGAGCACTAATTATCGATAACTCTGTAAGTTGAAAGAACTTCATGCATTACGACATCTCGATATATTTCGTTAAGTCTATAAATAATGATAATTCAATAAATATCGATAACTTGATACATTTCTTTAACTTGACAAATTTCGTCAATCCCACACGTTTTTATAGCTCGACAAATATCCGTAAATTTGGACAACTAAATTTCTGTCTCTATAATTTTCGACAACTCAGTAAACATTGATCAGTTTGAATAATTCGATGCGTTGCGATAACTTAATAAGCATGGATAAATTTCGATAAGTATAAACTTGGAGGATTTGATAAATTTCAGTAACCTTTATGGCTGATTTTATTTCGATTCCTATCGGAAAATTTCTACTCTGTTAACCTAATTCTTATGTATTTCTCATTGTCTCCATTTTCGCCTTTATCTCCATTTTCGTCTTTATCTTCACTTTTGCCTTTTTTTGTCTTCATCGTTATCACTTGTTTCTTTATCTTCATATTTATCTTTATTTCAAAGTTTAATTTCAAATACGAAGTAAAACAAAATGCCAAACAGCTTAAATTGAACAGGTTGCAAAAACAACCATACACAAATATGGAAATTTTTTAACGACGATTTTCAACCAATTTCGAAACTATAAAAACTCTCCTCATCTACAGAAAATAACCTTTCCAACGGTGTTTTTGGTCTTGAAATCGGTAACTTTACCTTGGTCTTCATCTTTGTTTTTATCTTTCACATCTTTGCTTATATCCTTTTCTTTTTCTATTCACGTAGATGAGATGAGGTGCGATGACGTGATAAGATGTGACGTGATTTTATGTGATGTTATAGGATGTCATGTCATGTGTTGTCATATCCTCTGATGTCATGCCATATGATGTCATACCATATGATGTCATATCATGTGATGTCAAGTCATGTGATGTCATGCCATATAATGTGATGTCATATCATGTAATGTCATGTCACGTGATATCGTGTGATGTGATATCATATTGTATCATGTGATGTCTCTTCATATCATGTGATAAAATGTGATGTGATGTCATGTAATGTGATCACACTCCATGTTCCGATTAGTATATCGATAACCCTGTTGATAACTGTGTCGATAAAAATACCGATAACAATATAGAATACTACAATGATTGTAAAATCGATTAATTCATCGATAAATATAACAATCATCAGTATCGATTATTGTACATATCGTTAACAATATAAATGACTAAATCGATAACAAAATCAATTATTTAATCGATTATTATACGGATAACAATATCCATTATTGTATCGATAACAATATTGATTATTATATCGCTTACAATAGCGGTTA